CCAGGAAGCTCCGCGGCGGCCCGGGGAGCCGCCGGGGCCGGTGTCACCTGAGCCCGGCGGGGGAGGGCCCGGGGGCGAGCGGGAGGCGGCGGGTGGCCGCGGGGCCTGCCCCCGGCAGGGGCGGCCTAACAGCCCTTGCCCGCCGCCGCAGGTGCGCCGGGCCCGGGCAGCCCCGCTGCGCCAGGCCGGGCCCGCGGCCCCTTCCCGGAGGCCGTCCCGGGCCCGTGCCCCTCGTCGGCGGGGTGGGACAGCGCACAGGTGCGGGAGCGTTGGCGACCATCCTGTTTTACCTCACGGGCACCTTCACCCGCTGCCAAATACGCTCCTGGGATGAGTCCAGCGAGCGTGTTTAACTTGCACATCCTAACATCCCTTCTGCATTCTTCACGCGCTGCAGGGAAGTGGAGCTTTCCGTACTAAAGGTCATAAATGTTAATTTAACCTGCGGTAATCTGTTTAGCTTTTATTTTTTATCGAGTGCTAAACAAACAGCCTCCCGAGCGGCTGAGGAGGTGGTGCGGCGGGGGAAGGCGCTGGAGTAAACGCGCCGTCCCGTAAACACACACGTAAAAAGCTTTATACCCTCGAGTGTTTCCAGTGAGTCTGGAAAGGGAATTAAAAATAACACCGTCCTTGAGAGGCTTCCAAGTCTCATTCATCCGAGAGGCGCTGAGCAGCCAAACTCCCACCTACACCAACTTTCCCTCACCAGTGCAGTGTCATTGCCGTGAAAAAATGCGTAAAGTAGATTCTGTGGTACTGGGCCAAAGAAAAAACATTCGTTCGTTTCACTCTTCCTCCAGAAAGTAATCATCCTATCAACAGTTGAAGAAAAAAATCAAGCCAATTATATATAGGACACATAAAACAGCATTAGTGCATTACTGAGGCTGAAAAACCAAATATTCAAAAGTCAGGAAATTACAAATACTAACTTTTCCAAAGCAATATCATGTTGGCTTCATTACACATCCTACACACCTCACAGGATATAGATTAAATAATAATAAAACCTATAGATGTGCAGCAAGAGCGACTGAACGTTGCGGCAGAAATCTTAGCTTTGGGATTTTCTTGGGTTTCAAGTACTTGCTTCCTCAGCCTTCGTTTTGCAATAATTCTTGGCTGTGTTTTAACAGCCAGTATTTGCAACTCCCACTGAAGTAGATGAAATTGTTTGGGGCTTTGTATCCTTAACACATAACCACATATAGCTTGTGGGTTTTTTAGAAAAAATCATCAAATGTGCCTTTTTGCATACCACGAGAGGCCCTTGAAGCAAGGCAGCTTGAGCTCACCCGCTCTTAAATTTAACTTCTCTGCCGGGGTGGGTCTGGACAAAAGGGCTGAGAGAGGGGGGAAGTGATTCCCACCCCTGCTCCCTCCGCGGCGACGGGCAGAGCAAGGCAGGGACCCTCCTGCCGCCCCCAGAGCTGCTCAGCGGCGGTGCCCGGGGCGGACGGCTGCATCCTGCACACAGGGATGTGGCAGAACCGAAAGAAAGGGCTTCAGCAGCAGCAGCAAAGTAAAGCTGGGTACATGAAAAAGGGCGCGTGGGGAGGGAGATGATCACAATCTTGTCTGTCTGTCTGTCTCTACCTCCCTTCCGCCCTCCATCTCCCCCCCAGTAGACACCATAAAGCACGAGAATTTGAAACTCTTCACTGCAAAAAAATGGCCAATAACTTAGCAAGATTGAATTTGGATTGGATGATTACCCCAAATTTCAGACGTTTCATTTGTGGAAAAACTCCATTTGAAGCATACCAGAAAGTGAAAAAAAAAAAAAAATGCTGTGTTTCAGGATTTCAGTAAATCTGCATTTTGGATTATATTAAATATTTTATAAGCCTGCTGTGGGTTTGTTTCTCTCTTCTCTTAAGCTGCTGATGCTTCCCACTTTTCTAGGCAGAAGAGTAGTCTGGTGGCCTGTCAGGCTGATCTACTATGTGATTCCAACCAGTCTCTTGGACTGGTGTCTGTCTTGGTAGGTCTGACCGACAGATCCCCTGGAATTTATTTTATTGTGATTGGAGAAAAAATAGGTGAGGTTTCTTTCCCAAAGTAAATACGTGCCTTGTCACTACAGTAAGTTGACTGGATGCAGTGACTAAACCTCACCTGCCTGGAAGAGAAGGAAGAGTAGAGAAAGTTCATGTTTGAAATAGAGGGCATACAAGAGGAAACCCTGTTGAGACGAGGCTCGCATCTCTCAGAGCTATTATTTCAGTCCCTATGAAAACTTAAGCAGACATCTATGCCCAGGTTACACTTAGTTCATGTTTTTAAGACTGTTTTGCCACCACAGCAGCT